ACTGTTCATCACTGCTCACTAAACATTTTCTAACACTGCAGGATTTTACTCTCCTGACATAAAGGCAAAGTGTGCCCTGCTGTGGTGGAGAAGCTGGTTCTGATCTCTCATTTGAGGCATATAGACACACAGTCATATAAAACAGTGTTGAATAAGGACACAGGAGGCCTGTACAAGGTCAGTCACTGTTGGATAGATGGTCATAAGCAATATGGCATAATTTTCAACATATGCTGGTGTTGATAAAACTCAGGATGGCTCCTGGTGGGGCAGCATACACTGAAAGTGTTACAGGAACACTCAGAAAGAAATACCCGTGACCATGGAGGGGAGAGACCAGCTCTTACAGATCATCCCCAGTAGAACCCAAAAGGCCATTTCTCCCCAATCTGCTTATGTTGTTTTCGAGCAGATAAACCACATCTCACAGTGGTCTTTGGGATTATGCTAAGGTCCTGTGATGCCCCCTCCTGACGATGCTATGCTAAGGTTTATCGTTTTATCGGAATAATATTATTCTGCATTTGCAAACAGTTGGTTGTGAAAAATCCTTAAACTCAGACTTTACCTAATCAGAGTTCATGAATACGCATGCTTTTCTGTAAATAAGGTTAGAAATTCATGTGTTTTCTGAGCAATTATCTTTCCTCATCTTTTTCATATCATGGACTTCATGGACTTCTGATGCTCTGATGCTCTAACCAACCTTTCTTTCTTCCAGCATCTAGAATTATGCATTGACTCTGAGTCTTTTCCCTGCTCTGAGATATGGAATCAGTTTTCCCCTAAAGAGCTCTGATCCCTTTTTATCAAAGAATCACTTTAAAAGCCACAGGTATTTGCCAAGCATACTAGTGCATGCTTTTAATCCCGGCAGCACTGAGGAGGCAGAGGCAAGTGGGTCTTTGTGAGTTCTAGGCCAGCCAGGGTTACCTAGTGAGACCCTGTCTCAAATAAATAAATAAAATAAAATACTTTTTAAAACAACAAGCATTGAATCCACAAATGCATTTGGTCCATATTCCAACTAGAATCGGGCAAAAATAACAAAAACATACAATAGTACAAATCACTGCAGGCAGAGTAGATAAAACAGCCTCTAAAAACATACTCATAGAGCAGGGTTAGAGGTATGTGCCTGTAACCCCAGCACTCAGGAGGCTGGAAGATCATGAGTTCAAGGCCAGCCTGGACTATGCAGCAAGATCCTGACTCAAAAGGAAAACAAGGTTCATTGATTCTTCTGGAAATCTCCACTTCACCTCTATTCTAATGAGTTCTTTTGCCTTACTCTAAAAAGGAAGTTTATTAATCCATATATTTTCATTTTTGAGTGACTAATTTTTCTTCATTTTATGAATGTTAACAGCCACAAAAAGCTAGTCTCCTACCAAACCACAGGTCTAAACTTCAGTATTCCCCACCGCCCCCAGCTCAGCAGACTCCACATCTCTTCTTCTTTCTTGACACTCACTCAGCTCAGCTATCCTGAAACTGGCTTCACAGTACCCAAGCTCCACCAAATCTTAGATCACTGTTGCCCTAGAAACAATATCTGAAAGGAAAGAAATCCCAGACTTCATTTATGGCAACCACCCAAAAGCTAGGAGCTCAGTGGTGGCCAGATGACTTAACAGACAAAGGCACTGAGTTCGATCCCCTGGACCCACATGGGAGAAGTAGAGAACCGACTCCTGCAAGCTGTCCTCTGATCTCCACATATGCGCCCCCACACATACACACATATACACAAAATAAATATGTTCTTTACATTTTTTAAAGCTAACAGCTCAGAACATTGAGCATGATACACAAACAGCTTGTTCAACTAAATACTAATGATTGTAAATTGGGAAACAAAAGAGGGTAACAGAAGTCATGTGACATGAAAGCCGAGGGAGGGACTATTGGAGAGGAAGGAGACCAGCAAGAGGGGAAGGGGACAGGAGAGGAGGGCGGGGGCGGGGTGAGTAAGAACAAAGTATCATGATGTGTCTCACATTTCCTACACATTAAATGAAAATACACTGTTTACTTAAAAAATTAATAGAAAGACAAAAATGAGGAGTAAAAAATAATAGTAATAAAATTTAGAATAGAAACAAATACCATTTCTCAAAGTTCCTTTTGAAATCTTGTGTGTTAAGACACGAGTGGTGGTGTACAACCTTTAATTCCAGCACTCAGAGGCAGAAGCAGGTGGATCTTTATGAGTTCAAGGCCAGCCTGGTCAATATAGTGAGTTCCATGCTAGCCAGGACCCTGTTTCATACATATATATAATTTTTTAAGCCCTGTGTTTTCTCCATTAAAGCTCTACAATTCAAATTTATCTCATATTCCCTATGCAGTTTTCCTTAGTAGTAACTTTGACTTTGCATATTTAAACTCTGCATTCGCACAGACCTGAGGCTAGGTGGATGGCTCTCTTTCACCAGCTTATGTCAGCTCCTGAGAGCCCATTCTGCACATCTCTTCCCGTTCTACATCCAGGGGCTAGACTCACAAGGTGAAAAATCAGCACCATGTGAATATTTACACCATTGAAACGAGCAGGCACTACAAACCAGAACTTCCTACCTGAAGATCCCACCAACTCCATTTGTTTTGACATTCAAAGTGTCAAAACATAAGATAATTAACATCCAGAATAATCATATACCAGACATTGTGGCTGTAAATTCCTACTCAAGAAATTTATAAATAGCTTTTAGCCAGGCATGGCAGCACACACCTTTAATCCCAGCATTCTGGAGGCAGAGGCAGGTGGATCTCTGTGAAACTGAGTCCAGCCTGGTCTATATAACAAGTTCCAGACCAGCTGGGGCTACAGGGAGATCCTGTCTCAAAAAAAAAAAAAATGGCTTTAGGCGTTTCACATAATCTTTCCACTATTTACTAGGGAATGCTTCTCAGAACCAACATCTAAAAGAAAAACTACATAAAAGAATGACACAGTATTTCAGTTATGATATCCAAGTCATGTTCTGCTCAGTGACCCACCAGCTTCAAGTAATCTCCAGATGTTTGATCCATCCCCAAGTTTTATTTCCACAATGGATAAACAGAATTCAGTCATTTCTGGTTATTCACATTAATGGGCTAATAGTTAGTGCTTTGCATGGGCTAATTGTGCTCTGCTCCACCTCCCCCACCCAGCCCCAGTCACTCTGTAGAAATTGTGTCTTTGGGATGGCATGAAGGGTGGACACCAGCAAGCTCTGGGGAAGGGGTCTGGCTTTGCCAAAATAGAAGCAAGATGAAGAAACATGAAGCTTCCTTATTGGGTCAGTGTGATGCTGGACCAGGACCGTGTCTCACTTACCAGTGGGCCATTGTGCGCTCCCATCCCATCCCCACTCTGCCCACTCCCAATATTCTCAGCAACGTGATGGCCTCAGTTAGTTTGCCACCTGAAACTGCTCATAGGAGAGGCTGTCAATTTGATGTTCATTAGCACCTGGGTTCAGGCAAGGGGAACATTTCTACGAGTTTTGTGCAGTTAAATTCCCCTACCTTTGCATTGACACTTCGGCAGAGCCACGGTGTCCTCAAGTGAGGAGGCGAGGGCCCTCTAGCTGCTTTGGGACAGTACTTGCCAAGGTCTTTCTTTCTGGGGGCATGGCAAATGAACTATCTTCCCTCCTCCTTGCTGTCTTTCCTCTCACTCCAGTCCCACACCTTGAACAAGTTTCCTCTGACACGGCCCCCATCGTGCAGATGAATACTGTGCTTGGCCACCTCTGGCTGTGAGGACTCAATGGCGGCCATTTGAAGCTTCAGGCGTCTGCCTGTGCTTGGCCACCCCAGCACATGGCACAACGCTGTTCATGATGTTCTTCTCTCCCCTGCAATTTCCCTCCACCCTAAATACTGTCCATTTGACATCCCTCCACATTCTCCAACGTTCTATTGTCTTCTACCTACCTGTTACTTAAAGGAAAGCTTGGGGGAGGGCTGTATTCCAGTTCTTTCCCTTTTCTCCCCCATGTCTGCCCTCCACAGACACAAGCTCAGATCCAAAACTGACTCAAAGCAAGTATTTTTGGTTTTTAAAATTTATGTATCTTGGAAGCACTCCAGGTTTTTCACAATCTCCCACTATCCCTTCAAATAAATATACATCCAACTAGTATTGTTAACCATTTCTATATAGCTTTTAGTCTGGGTTATTTCTTCAAACCAAGAACTATTTTTAATATTTTTATTTCTAGGAGGATACTTTTAAAATATCCTTTTATTTTCTTGTCATTTTAAAATTCTGTTTCATTATAGAGAAAGTATAAGACTATGGCTCCTGTTTATTGAGCAGTATTTGATATAATGTTGTGGATTGCTAACATCTATTCTATATAGCTTTTAGTCTGGGTTATTTCTTCAAACCAAGAACTATTTTTAATATTTTTATTTCTAGGAGGATACTTTTAAAATATCCTTTTATTTTCTTGTCATTTTAAAATTCTGTTTCATTATAGAGAAAGTATAAGACTATGGCTCCTGTTTATTGAGCAGTATTTGATATAATGTTGTGGATTGCTAACATCTATGCATAGGACATCTTATTGGATTTACTGTCTTCTGTTTGCTTTTTATATTTCTCATTTTGCTTCTCAGATTTATCTACTTGATATGGTTCTATCTGATAGATTGGTCTTTACTGTTTAGGACTTTGTGAATATACAAAAATTGATTCATTCCTTTTCCTATGGGTAGACATTTTGGTTAAGTTCTCTCTGTATTTCTTAACTATAAACCATGATCCTTTGGAACAAATTCATGTATTGTCTCCTTTCTCTAAAAGTGTAAGTTTTCTCCAGGACAGATTCCTAAAATCATACTTGCTTGATTAGAGGTTACACGACATTCTGCCTTGCTAGTATCCCCAGATTACAGCTCAGTGATGTTATAATGATTTACAGGCTCTCATCAGTAGCTTCTGAGGATTTTCCTCACATCATTGCCAATGCTTGATCATTCCTTTTTTATTTTTGCCATGTGGACGTTTGTGCAACATTAACTTATGTTGCACATCCCTGAAGAAAGACATGAATCCTCAAACTGAAGAACCTTGAGTCCTGAGCAGGATAAACAGACATGAATCCATACTTAGTGACATTGTAGTGAAAGTTCAGAACATCAAAGACAACAAGGAAGCATCTTTAAAATCAACCAGCTGAAAAACACAATTTACTTACATGGAAGGGTAAGTAGCTGGACAGCAGATTTCTCATTGGCAATTAGAGGAAGAGAGTGGAATGGTATCTTCAAAGTGCTGAGGAGAGAAAAAAACACTGTCAAACCAGAATTCTGAAAGAGCTGTTGAGGCATTCTCCCAGTGGCTGCATCTCTCCATCCCCCTGGCCTCTTGCCTTCTTCAAAAGTAGATATCTCACTTTCATGAAAGAGGTGGATACTTGTGTGAAGATAGGCAAATCCCACAATTCCACGCCCCCTGGTCATAAGATTGATCCCAAGGGTAGAGATATAAACAAGAAAAAGCAAGACCAATGGGTGCCCTCATCCCTGAAACCAGCTCAACCCTGCCCTCTCTAGGCTTTGAGGATATCTTCTCTGTTTCTGACTCTCGTATCTGAGAGTCCTGAGAGGAAGACTTTTCTGAGATACAAACAAAGAAGAGGTGCCAAATGAGGCTCAGAGAAATAAGAGCAAAAACAGAAGGGCAATTTAAGAGGGATCTGTCCAGGGCTGGTGAGATGGCCCAGTGGGTAAAGGTACTTACCACCAAGCCTGTCAGCCTGAGTTCAATTCCCGGGTCCAACATGATGGAAGGAGAGAACTGACTGCCACAAGCTGTCCTCTGACTGCCACATGCATGTCATCACACACACACACACACACACACACTCATGAGTTAGATGTCCTTTTCTAACTGAGTTGCATGTGTGGTAGAGGGCGGGTAGAGTATGTAGCCCAACTACAGTGAAAAGGAAGAATGTACCACAACAGACCAACAGACCCAAGCATTGCTCCTCAGGGGATAAGCTTTGATAGACCCACCTACCAACATCTCCCCAGCTCAGGAAATAGAGCAATTCAACTTCTCTTTGGACATTCCTACCCCAAGCACAGCAATCATGGATCTAAGTGTCCTTGTATTGCATATGCAAACACTCTTCATTCGAATGCAAGACAATATAATTTCACAACTTGAAGGTTTCTTAAAAATCCTGTAAACTAAGCCTTCACTGAACAGATGAACAAATAAAAGACCATACAGAGAGTTGTTGGGTATGACATCG